CAGATAAGACAAAAGTCATGTTGTTTTCCAATAATAAAAAGTTACCAACTGTTCTTCCCTGCATCATGTCTGCACAGCATAACCCCATTGAAGCTGTTAACCTGCAGATACTTAGGCATCACTATAGATGAAAATCTCTGCTTCAACATTGACAATCTCTTAAGGAAATTGAAATTAAAGCTGGGATTCTTTTTTAGAAATAAGGCCTGCTTCTCCACAAGTGCGAGGAAACGGCTTGTAGCTGCCACATTGTTGCCGCTCTTGGACTACGGGGATATTGTGTACATGAACGCCTCAGCTCACTCCCTTCATCTGCTGGACGCTGTTTACCATGGGGCTCTGAGGTTCATAGCCAACTGTAAACCCCTCACACACCACTGCACGCTGTACTCTTTAGTCAACTGGACATCATTATCAATGCGCAGATCACTGCACTGGTTCAAACTCATCTACACCGCTATGCTTGGACTGCTGCCCCTCTACATATCCACTTACATATCACACAAACAGTACAGCTATAGACTAAGATCTCAAAATGACATCACTCTGTCCGTCACCTCAGTCCGCACGGTGCTTGGGAAAAAGCCATATCGTACTCTGCCCCCTCGACCTGGAGCACACTTCAGCAGGGACTTCAGCTGACCACTTTAATACCCATCACGGATTTTAAACTCATTTTTAAAAAGAAATCATCTGTGGGTGTTTGCACCTGCTATATCTGACCGTATGGATTTCAATTACTACTTTTTTACGGTGTTGTATTTTAGTGTTGCCTCTGTGTTTAGTGTCCTGTCTGTCTGTAACTTTGTGTGGTAGTGTTACCACTGACAGGTCTCTCTTGATAACGAGACCTTGTGTGTCAATGAGATTTTACACCTGTATAAATAAAGGCTAAAAAAGAAAGAAACAAAATGAAAAGGCAACATATTGAATAATAAGCTAACAGTTTCCGCAGAGAGGCGTCTATTGTTGAAGTGAAAGAGAGATATCAGCTTCTCTATCAACACAGCTCTGTGGGGGCACTCTGGGAAACGTAGGAAATGACAAACTAAAGCTGAAGTACGGACGGTCGGTTTAAGAAAGTGGATCCAACAAAAAAGTAATCTAGTTGCCAGCGGGTTGTTGGCGTTTCAGCTCGGCGGGGGCTCCTCCTAATCCATTTCTCCCAATACAATTATGATTGGCACGCAGTTATCTCTGGATGTCGCGGCGTGGCGGGTCACCAAAGGGCTCATGGGAAGCGTGGAGACTAGTTATGGAGCCAATGTCAGCGAGGACACTGTTGAACTGTGGAGCCAGAGATGGAGGGTGAGGAGAGGAGTAAGCTGTTTAAAAATTGACAGGCAATCACTCAGCGGCAGACATATTGAACGGTCCCACATGGCTAAACCCCCCCCCCCAACAGTGGAGAGAGGGTTACAGGCCACAGTGACTCAGGCTCCATTTTAAAATTTGAGGCCAATAGATGCACGTTTGGCAATTGAATGGCTGCTGATATATCAACTTTGAGGCGTGCAAAACTAACTTTTTGTTGAGTAACAGATAGGGAAATGGTGGAGAGAGGGTTACAGGCCACAGAATTAGAATTGGGAGGGATGCAATCCTCTTTAATGGTCACACATTCAGAGCACACAGCACACAGAGTGAAATGTGTTCTCTGCCTTTAACCCATCTTAGTACTAGGAGCTGTGGAAAGCTATTGTACAGTACAGCGCCCGGGTCCTATGGGTGACGTCACGGACCCTACGTCCATTTATATATACAGTCTATGGTTTCGCCCCATTGATACGGGCTGTTGACAGTTCCAAATGGACAACATCGAGGAAAAATTCAAACCCATCACGACTCGAGGACCTTGTAGGTAAACGTGTCCTCAGAGTTCTGTGTCATCCTGAAATCTACAAAGTCTTGCATTGTGAGAGTCTGACCCTCTGAGCACAATCCTCTCTCTTACACAAACATCCCTCTGAGTCTTTCTGGCCCTTTCCAATGTCTCCGCTGAGACAAAAGGACAAAGTGACGTGAGGAACACTCATGTACATTTTACACTGTGGAAATGGCAGCCATTGAAACTGTCCTATCTGAACGTGATGTGTTTTTAAAGATAAAAGTGTGGCTTTCACAAGTTTCTAATTAATTTCAGCACTTATACTGGATCACCAGTTGGCACTTTGATGCTTCTCTGGACACACTTAGAAAGAGATATTTTTGATCAAGCACCATTGGAAGAAAAAGTCATTTGTTTATGTCTGATCAATGCTTCCGTTTGTTCCTTTAGTTTGTACACTAATTGGGAGTTATAATACATCCCATCTGCACCTGGTCTAGCTTCATTCGTCTCCGTTTTGTTCATCGCTTAGGTCTAATACCAAATCAACATAAATCGATGCATCTTATCTCACTAGATGCCTTTGCGGAAAAGCTGATTTCAATCTAGGTAACCTACATACTTTTATATACATTGGGTAACATTCAAGATGCAAGTTAGATCCTCAGATAAAAAGCTTCTGAATATGTGTGCTGTCTTTCCGCCTGACCATCTGTGTTTCTGACAGAACTGGTGAAGCCGTTTGAACACAGACGTAACATCTATGGAGGTTTTTAGAGGAAGTATGCTTCAAAGAGCTTGTCAGATGTCATCCAACAGCATCTGAAACGTACAGATTAAATCTGATGATCGTGTCCATTTATACTTTAAAAGGGGGTCCTATGATACTTCATGTGGGTTTCCCCTTTCCTGTGGTGTGTTCTATACGTTTTAGTGCATGTCAATGGTAAAAAGGCCTCCATTTGACCCCTTTGTTTACTCTTTAAAGTAGAGACACTACATACTGATATACACCTGAACATCAGCAGGAGAGGACTCTTTAAAGTAGAGACACTACATACTGATATACACCTGAACATCAGCAGGAGAGGACTCTTTAAAGTAGAGACACTACATACTGATATACACCTGAACATCAGCAGGAGAGGACTCTTTAAAGTAGAGACACTACATACTGATATACACCTGAACATCAGCAGGAGAGGACTCTTTAAAGTAGAGACACTACATACTGATATACACCTGAACATCAGCAGGAGAGGACTCTTTAAAGTAGAGACACTACATACTGATATACACCTGAACATCAGCAGGAGAGGACTCTTTAAAGTAGAGACACTACATACTGATATACACCTGAACATCAGCAGGAGAGGACTCTTTAAAGTAGAGACACTACATACTGATATACACCTGAACATCAGCAGGAGAGGACTCTTTAAAGTAGAGACACTACATACTGATATACACCTGAACATCAGCAGGAGAGGACTCTTTAAAGTAGGGACACTACATACTGATATACACCTGAACATCAGCAGGAGAGGACTCTTTAAAGTAGAGACACTACATACTGATATACACCTGAACATCAGCAGGAGAGGACTCTTTAAAGTAGAGACACTACATACTGATATACACCTGAACATCAGCAGGAGAGGACTCTTTAAAGTAGAGACACTACATACTGATATACACCTGAACATCAGCAGGAGAGGACTATTTAAAGTAGAGACACTACATACTGATATACACCTGAACATCAGCAGGAGAGGACTCTTTAAAGTAGAGACACTACATACTGATATACACCTGAACATCAGCAGGAGAGGACTCTTTAAAGTAGAGGACACTACATACTGATATACACCTGAACATCAGCAGGAGAGGACTCTTTAAAGTAGAGACACTACATACTGATATACACCTGAACATCAGCAGGAGAGAACTCTTTAAAGTAGAGACACTACATACTGATATACACCTGAACATCAGCAGGAGAGGACTCTTTAAAGTAGAGACACTACATACTGATATACACCTGAACATCAGCAGGAGAGGACTCTTTAAAGTAGAGACACTACATACTGATATACACCTGAACATCAGCAGGAGAGGACTCTTTAAAGTAGAGACACTACATACTGATATTACACCTGAACATCAGCAGGAGAGGACTCTTTAAAGTAGAGACACTACATACTGATATACACCTGAACATCAGCAGGAGAGGACTCTTAAAGTAGAGACACTACATACTGATATACACCTGAACATCAGCAGGAGAGGACTCTTTAAAGTAGAGACTACTACATACTGATATACACCTGAACATCAGCAGGAGAGGACTCTTTAAAGTAGAGACACTACATACTGATATACACCTGAACATCAGCAGGAGAGGACTCTTTAAAGTAGAGACACTACATACTGATATACAGCCTGAACATCAGCAGGAGAGGACTCTTTAAAGTAGAGGACACTACATACTGATATACACCTGAACATCAGCAGGAGAGGACTCTTTAAAGTAGAGACACTACATACTGATATACACCTGAACATCAGCAGGAGAGGACTCTTTAAAGTAGAGACACTACATACTGATATACACCTGAACATCAGCAGGAGAGGACTCTTTAAAGTAGAGACACTACATACTGATATACACTTGAACATCAGCAGGAGAGGACTCTTTAAAGTAGAGACACTACAGACTGATATACACCTGAACATCAGCAGGAGAGGACTCTTTAAAGTAGAGACACTACAGACTGATATACACCTGAAAATGAGCCGAATATTTCTTCTTGAACAAATGTATGTCACCCATACCAAGCCATCAAAACACTGAACTACCTTCCTTTGTTAAAACTTCTCTTGATACTTTGTCATTTCTCCACACCAAACCACATTATAATACCCTCTCAATACCCCCCTCTTACTGTATAGCGCCCGGTGTGCACAGTGACAGTGTATTTGTGTGTATTTGTGTGTAAGCTTATGTTTATCTGCACTGCCTTTGGTTCCCTTTGATTTCCCTTAAGCCTTATGTCTTTTGTCATGTTCTGGTCTTCTGAATGCTTGCTTATGGGTGTCATTTGTTTTCTCCCTCCCTCCCTCCTCCCCCATTTCTCCTTTATTTGCATGCTGTTCCTCCTGTTCCACACCTCCTCTCCTTGTGTTCAGACACTGCGCCCAGCACTGAACCTGCAGCTCATGGTTGGTATCTCTACTTTCCTCTTTAAGTCTTTTTTTGTTTTGTTTTTAAGCTGTTCTCTGCAGCATGCTTACTTTTACAGTGGAAATGTCATGTGTTGATCTACCTGACCTCTCTTTTGAGGTCCCCCCCCCCAAGCTATATGTGCTACATGTAGCAGGCTAAATGTTGTTTCTGTTGCTTTAATTGTGCCACAAAGATGTTTCTGTCACTTAGGCTTTGGTCGAATTGCCGCCAAAAAATCAGGTATTGTCTTTTCCTTACAACTTTTTCTCAACCTCAGTGAGAAACGTCATGAGTTTAAGTAAAGATGTGAAGGAGAATTCATCAGGACTTAGGAAATACAGTATGTATTCAATTAAAAAATGACGACAGTGAAAGCTATATTCCTCGATACCAAGGTTGAACTTGAAATGAAATGGTTGCTCACCCTCCTGTCCACTCCGAATTATCCACAACTAGTTTGATTGCTTGAAAATATTTGAATATGTTTTACTTTTTGCAATATATTTGCTTAACTTGTTAGCCCTCCACATCTAATACAGTGCATATCACCATTCAAACATGTTGAAAAATAGTTTGAGACACCCATCACTACTCAGTAAGAACTATGAAACTTTACTTGATGATTTTAAAGTAATAATCGTTCATAGTTGTCCTTTTGGTTTAACATATTTTAGAAAATTCAAAGCACTGCACAAGATGGAAAAGGTTCAATAAGCACTGTAACTGTCATGATCTGCATTTGTCGGTCACGATCGGTTGTTCCCTTGGATGCCCGATGTCACCGATGCAAGGTCACCATTTTCTCCTTTACTTTCCTAAAGGATGGTCCAGTGTATCCTTAGCTAAGGAGGCTATAAAGGAAGTAATGAAGCTCCTTTCCTATCATCTAGAGCAGCGGTTTTCAAAGTGTGAAGCGTGCACCTCCCAGGGGGGCCGCCAGAGAGCTTCAGGGGAGGCGCAACGTGAGAAAAAAATAACGAGAAACAGTAAAATCTAGCTAGTTAACTTCAGCTAACTTTATGCGAGCGGCAACATGGATCGATTTTTAGCGAAGTTACCTAAAGTGAGAGAGGAGACAGCGGCTGGCAGAAAACGGAGGAAGTATGACCACGATTATCTGAAGCTAGGATTTCCATGGACCGGTCCTGGCAGGGGCGGACGGGCCATCTGTGTGGATCACAGAACGGCCGGTCGTCAGCGGGCCGGTGGCGGCCGGCTCGGTTCCCTGACGGTCGGCACCGCCCTTTATTTTAATTTGAATAATTCTTACTTTGATCAAAAGCAAGTACGGGTCAAGGCTGCAGCCAGAGGTTGATCTGCGTTTATTCCTGTCTACATTGCATCCCCGCATCAAAGACGCAGACTAATTGTTCCCACTAAAGTAGGGGTGAGTGTAATAAGGAGGCAAAGTTGACGTTCAGTCTGTTGCCGGGAGCATAGAAGGATTTATCCACCATGTTGAAAATGTTAAAAATGTTTTTTAAAAAATGTTTAAAACATAAAGATAAAAAGGTTTAAAAAAAGTTGTTGTTTCATGTTTTAAGGAGGTGACGCTACTCAGTCAATGCAATGGGTGCAGTCAGTGAGTCAGCACGATAGATTCAAACACAGAGGCGAGACAAGAGGAGAGAAACAGTCGAAGTCATTTCAAATGGCGGAAGGTAGACAGCGACATTTTCTCTTACTGGACCTCTTTGAAATGCAATTGAATGCCCCTGCAATACAGCAACAACAATAATAATAATAGCAAGGATAATTGGGAGGGGGGGCGCGGCTGTTCTTCTGTGCCCTGAGGGGAGGCTCACCTTCCCACACTTTGAAAACCCCTGGTCTAGAGAATCCAAACAGCTGTTATCATGGCTGCCACTGTGGTACTTCTGGGTCATTTCACCCGCAAAAAAGGCTATTGGATCCTAACCCTTGCATAATGGACATCTTGAACCATTGTTCAATCAGACTTTAGAGCGAGTTACCTGTTCTTGTTGGTTGATCAGAGATCCACATTGGTCTAGACTGAAATATCTCAACCTTTGGAGATGTTTCTTGGACGGATTGACTTCCAGGAGCCCCAGAAGACCTACCAACATCTCAACTTCTGGAAGATGGATTGCTATAAGATGCTGTACAGACATTAATAGTTTCTGGATGGTACTTGCAAGTCATTCCACTTTTTCAGCATCCTTCCTGAGCAAAAAAGACAATTTTACTGCAACCCTGGCTTAATGGCCATCTGGAAATATGGTTCAATCACAGTTAAGAGCCAGTTACCTGTTCTTGTTGGGTGATCACATTGGTTCAGACTGAAATATCTCAACTTTTGGAGATGTTTTTTGGATGGATTGACTTCCAAGAGCCCCAGAGGATGCATCCTACCAACTTTGACATTTTATTGAAATGCCTCGAGCACTTCTCCTGGCCTCAACTTTGGCAAAATGGATTGCTCGAAGATTTGCACAGACCTTTATGGTTTCTGGAAGGTGGCCTCTTTAGTTTCAAACTACTGTCTGCCTCACTTGATGCAGATTACTGTACTTCCAGGTACTTCCCCCCCCCCCCCTTTCTCTCCACTAGGAACCTAGCTAAGCAAAAACACTATTCGACTGCCACCTCACTGTCACAGCATAAACCAAAGCATAGCATAACATCCTTGTCTCTTTGAAAAATCTATTCATTCTCCTCCCTGAAAGTGCACTTTGCCAAATTGTCTCTCCAGCTAACCAATTACATGGTTTCCCTGAAGGTGCCACAGAGGATTGAAACCCACTCTGAAGCCAGGAGAGATTATCAACAGCATCAGATGATTCTGTGTGCCGGCAGAAATAGACCTCATTTACTCGTTTTCATTAGTTTGAATGAAGACGATACGCATCGTTTTCTCATTTTGTCTAATTTGCAAAACCCCCTTTTTTCATTATTTTTCCGTGGCAGGCGTTTCATAATTTGTGTGGACAAATTCACGGAAGCGTGATCACAAACTTTCCATTAAGGATCTATCAGGAAATGTTCAACGACCTCACTCTGTTTCACAATGATTTATTTAATAGTTCTATGGCGTAAAATAAGGAACATACTCCGATTAACCCTCCTGTTTGTGCTCATTGAGTTAAAACCATGTAGGAATATGATCACATCAGGTTTCATATGGAGACAGAAAAATGCACTTATCGAATTATCTTGTGTTAACTGAAAATTGATCCTTCAATCGGGTATTATTTATATATTATCGATTTTTTACCTCACGGTCAAGTTGTATATTTTCTACTTTTTAATGCTGTTTTCTTTTTAGATGTTTACATTTGAGAATTGTTCATTTCTATTTATGTGCAATGCCTTGTTTTTTATTCTGCTGCAACGCAAACATTTCCCAGTTTAGGATCAATAAAGTACATCTTATCTTATCTTATTGCCTTTATCCTAAATTCCTATTTTGCCATAAAAAGCTACATTTACATGACATTAGTGGCTTTCAGTTGTTTTTGCAATGGATGATCATATTTGGTGGAAGAAGTACTCTGATCTTGTTCTTGAGTAAAAGTACTCAGATCTTGTACTTGAGTAAAAGTAGAAGTACTCAGATCTTGTTCTTGAGTAAAAGTAGAAGTACTCAGATCTTGTACTTGAGTAAAAGAAGGAGTACTCAGATCTTGTTCATGAGTAAAAGTAGAAGTACTCAGATCTTGTTCTTGAGTAAAAGTAGAAGTACTCAGATCTTGTACTTGAGTAAAAGAAGGAGTACTCAGATCTTGTTCTTGAGTAAAAGAAGGAGTACTCAGATCTTGTTCTTGAGTAAAAGTAGAAGTACTCAGATCTTGTACTTGAGTAAAAGAAGGAGTACTCAGATCTTGTTCTTGAGTAAAAGTAGAAGTACTCAGATCTTGTTCTTGAGTAAAAGTAGAAGTACTCAGATCTTGTACTTGAGTAAAAGTAGAAGTACTCAGATCTTGTACTTGAGTAAAAGTAGAAGTACTCAGATCTTGTGCTAGAGTAAAAGTAGAAGTACTCAGATCTTGTACTTGAGTAAAAGTAAAAGTACTCAGATCCTGTACTTGAGTAAAAGTAGAAGTACTCAGATCTTGTTCTTGAGTAAAAGTAGAAGTACTCAGATCTTGTACTTGAGTAAAAGTAGAAGTACTCAGATCTTGTACTTGAGTAAAAGTAGAAGTACTCAGATCTTGTGCTAGAGTAAAAGTAGAAGTACTCAGATCTTGTACTTGAGTAAAAGTAGAAGTACTCAGATCTTGTGCTAGAGTAAAAGTAGAAGTACTCAGATCTTGTACTTGAGTAAAAGTAGAAGTACTCAGATCTTGTGCTAGAGTAAAAGTAGAAGTACTCAGATCTTGTACTTGAGTAAAAGTAGAAGTACTCAGATCTTGTACTTGAGTAAAAGTAGAAGTACTCAGGTCTTGTACTTGAGTAAAAGTAGAAGTACTCAGATCTTGTTCTTGAGTGAAAGTAGAAGTACTCAGATCTTGTACTTGAGTAAAAGTAGAAGTACTTAGGTCTTGTACTTGAGTAAAAGTAGAAGTACTCAGATCTTGTTCTTGAGTAAAAGTAGAAGTACTCAGATATTGTACTTGAGTAAAAGTAGAAGTACTCAGATCTTGTACTTGAGTAAAAGTAGAAGTACTCAGATCTTGTTATTGAGTAAAAGTAGAAGTACTCAGATCTTGTACTTGAGTAAAAGTAGAAGTACTCTGATCTTGTACTTGAGTAAAAGTAGAAGTACTCTGATCTTGTACTTGAGTAAAAGTAGAAGTACTCAGATCTTGTACTTGAGTAAAAGTAGAAGTACTCAGATCTTGTACTTGAGTAAAAGTAGAAGTACTCAGATCTTGTACTTGAGTAAAAGTAGAAGTACTCAGATCTTGTACTTGAGTAAAAGTAGAAGTACTCAGGTCTTGTACTTGAGTAAAAGTAGAAGTACTCAGATCTTGTTCTTGAGTGAAAATAGAAGTACTCAGATCTTGTACTTGAGTAAAAGTAGAAGTACTCAGGT